GCCCCCCCAACAATTACGCGCCCGAAACACGCCGCCGTCGACCTGGGACCTCTGTTCTTGGACCCCCCGCCTGACAATTCTGCACCCGAAACCGCCCCGCCGTCGACATGGTCCGCCACTCCCAGCCCTGGGACCTCTGTTTGGGACCCCCCGCCTTACAATTTCGCACCCGAAACCGCCCCACCGTCGACCTGGTCCGACACGCCCACCTTGCCCTAAGATCTTTGTGTTTGCGACCCTCCGCCCCGCCATTTTGCCCCGGGAACCGCCCCCCGTCGACCTGGTCAGGCATCCCACCATGCCCTGGGACGCGCGTGCGTGGGACACCCCACCCAACACTTTCGCGCCCCAAACGGCCCCGCCATCGACCTGGTCCGACATCCCCAGCGCGCCCGGACACCTCTGTCCTTAAAACCCACCGCCCGACAAGTTCGCGCTGGAGACCGCACCGCCGTCGACCCGGCCCGACACCCCCCACCTTGCCTTGGCACCTCTGCTTTTGACACCCCCCACCGGCAATTTTGCAGCCGAAACTGGCCCGCCGTCGACCTGGCCCCACACCTCCACCTTGCCCTGGGACACATGTTTCGCGCCCCAAACCGCCCTGCAGTCGACCTGGTCCGGCACGCGCACATTGTCCTGGCACCTCTGGGACCTCCCACCCGACAATTTCGCGCCCGAAACCGCCCCGCCTTCGACCTGGTCCGACACCTCCACCTTGCCCTGGCACCTCTGTTTCTTTTGGGCGGCCCACCCGACAACGTCGCGCCCGAAGCCGCCACGCCGTCGACCAGGTTCGAAACGTTCGCCTTGCCCTTGGACATCTGATCTTGGGAACCCCACCCGACAATGTCGCGCCGAAAAAAAAACGCCGTCGACCTGGTCCGACACCTCCACCTTGCCCTGGGAACTTCTGTTGGACCCCCCACCCGATAATTTCGCGCCCGAGACCGCCCCGCCGCTCACCTGGTCCGAAAGCCATGGTGTTGAGACCCCCCACCCGACGACCTCGCGCCCGAAACCACCCCGCGGTCGACCAGGTCTGACACCTCCACCTTGCCCTGGGACCTCTGTTCTTGGCACCCACCATCCGACAAGCTCGCGCCCCAAACCGCCCTGTCGACCTGGTCCGACACCCCCACCTTGCCCTGTGACCTCTGTTTTTGAAACGCCACTCGACAGTCTCGCGCCCGAAACCGCACCGCCGTCTCCTTGGGAGACCCCACACTGCCTGGCGCCCCCCACCCGACAAGGTCGCACCCGAAACCGCCCCACCGTCGACCAAACACCCCCACCTTGCCCTGGAACCCCTGTTGTCGGGACCCCCACCCGACACTTCCGCGCCCGGAAACGCCCCGCCGCCGACCTGGCCCGATATTTACTGCCATACTTCTGGGACCCCCAATCCGACAACTTCGCACCCGGAACCGCCCCGCCGTCGAGCTGGTCCGCCACCCCCACCTTGCCCTGGGACCCTTGTTCTTGGGACCTCCCATCCGACATGCTCGCGCCCGAAACCGCCCCGCCGTCGATCTGGTCCGACACCCCCACCTTGCCCTGGGACTTCTGTGTTTGGGACCCCCCACCCCGCAAGCCGGCGCTCCAAACCGCCCCGCCGTCGACCTGGTCCGACACCCCACCTCGCCCCGGGACGTGTGTTTTTTACCCCCATGCCCGGCGTTCTCGCGCCCCGAACCGCCCCGCCGTGGACCTGGTCCGACACCCCATTCTTGCCGTACGCAGCTCTGGGGTCGCATTCTCGCCCGCGCCCCAAGCCGCCCCGCCGTCGACCTGGCCCGACGCGCGCGCCCTGCCCCGGCACTTTGTCCTCATGACCCCCCGCCCGACAAGCTCGCGCCCGAGACCGCCCCGCCGTCGACCTGGTCTGACGCCTCCACCTTGCCCCGGGACCTCTGTTGTCGGCGCCCCCCACCCGACAGCGTCGCGCCCGCAAACGCCCCGCCGTCGTCGGATCTCGGGGCCCACGCCCGACAAGTTCGCGCCCGAAGCCGCCCCGCCGTCGACCTGGTCCGACACCCCCACCCCGATCTGGACCTGCTGCTTTTGGACCCCCCCCGACAACCTCGCCCCCGAAACCGCCCCGCCGTCTTTTTGGGAGCCCCCATCCGACGAGCTCGCGACCGAAACCGCCCCGCCGTCGACCTGGCCCGACACCCCAACCTCGCCCTGGAATTCCTCGGCTTGAGACTCCCACCCGAGAACTTCGCGCCCGTAACCGCCCCGCCGTCGACCTGGTCCGACAGCCCCACCCTGCCCCGGTGCGACCACTGCTTTCGGGCCCCCCCATTTCGCATTTTCGCACCCGAAACCGCCCCGCCGTCAACCTGGTCTGACACCCCCACCTGACCGTGGGACATCCGTTCTCAAGACCCCCGACCCGACAATCTCGCGCCCGAAACCGCCCCGCCGCCGACCTGGTCTGACACCCCCATCTTGCCCTGGGACATCTGCATTCGGGACCCCCGACCCGACAATTTCGCGCCTCAAGCCGCGCCGCCGTCGGCCTGGTCCGACACCCCCACCTTCTTGCCCTGGAATTCCTTTGTTGTTGACGCCCCCACCGGGCAATCTCGCCCACCTGGTCCGACAGCCCCTCCCTGCCCTGGCACGTCTGGTTCGCGCCCGAAAGAGCCCCGGCGCCGACCTAGTCCGACGCCCCCGCCCTGCCCCGGGGATTTCTGACCCTTTTCAGGCCCACCCTGCCCTGGCACCTCTGATCTCGCACCCCCCCACCCGAATTTCGCACCTGGTTCGACGCCCCCGCCCTGTCCTGGGACCTTTGCTGTCGCGACCCTTGGCCCTGCACTTTCGCGCCCGAGGCCGCGCCGCCGCCGGCCTGGCCAGAAGCGCCCACCCTGCCCTGGGACACCCGCGCTCAAGACCCCCGACCCGACAATCTCGCGCCCGAAACCGCCCCGCCGCCGACCTGGCCCGACCCGCCCATTGCCCTGGAACCCCCCGCCCGACACAGTCGCGCCCAAAGCCGCCCCACCATCGGCCTGGCCCGACACCCCCACACTGCCCGACAGCTTCCCGCCCAAACCGCCCCGCCGACGATCTGGACCGACGCGCCCACCTTGCCCTGGGATTGCTGTTCCTGGGACCGCACCGCCGGCCGAATACCCAGCCAAACACCCCCACCCTGCCCCGGGACATCCGTTTTCAAGACCCCCCACCCGACAAGCTCGCGCCCGAAACCGCCCCGCCGTCGACCTGGTCCGACACCCCCACCTTGATCTGGAATTGCTGCTTTTGGGATCCACGCCCGATAATTTCGCGCCCGAAACCCGCCCGCCGTCGGCATGACCGAGCCCCCCTACCTTGCCCTAGGACCTCTGCTTTTGAGACCCCCCACCCGACAATTTCGCGGCCGAAGCCGCCCAGCCGTCGACAGGCCCGACACGCCCACCTTGCCCTGGGACGTCAGTTTTCGGGACCCTCCAGCCGACAATTTCGCGCCCGAAACCGCCCCGCCTTCGACCCGGCCCGACGCCCTGGCCACATTGTTTTCGGACCCCCCACCCGACAATGTCGCGCCCGTAAGCGCCCCGCTGTCAACCTGGACCGACACCCCCACCTCGCAAGGGAACCTATGTCTCTGGGACCCCCCACCCGACTATCTCGCGCCCGGAACCGCTCCGCCGTCGACCTGGTCCGACACCCTCACCCGGCCCTGGGATCTATGATTTTGAACCCCGCCACCCGACAATTTCGCGCCCGAAACCGCCCCGCCGTCGACCTGGTCCGAAACCCCCACCTTGCCCTGGGACATATTTCTTTGGGGGCCTCACCCGACACTTTCGCGGCCGAAGCCGCCACGCTGGCGACCCAGCCCGACACCCCTATAAGAACATGGCTGGGATTCCTGATTTTAGGATCCCTCACCCAACAATGTCGCGCAAAATCGCCCAGCCGTCGACCTGGTCTGACACCCCCACACCGTCATGGCAGCTCTGCTTCTGGGACCCCCACCCCACAAACTCGCGCCCGAAACTGCCCCGCCGTCGACTTCATTAGCCCGACACCCCAAGCTTGCCCTGGAACACTTTGCTTCTGGGGCCCTCCACCCGACAACTTCGCGCCCGAAACCGCTCTGCCGTCGACTGGTCCGACATGCCCTCCTTGCCCTGGGACCCTTCTCTGTGGGACCCCCCCACCCGACTATTTCGCGCCTCAAATAGCGCCGCCGTCGACCTGGTCCGACACCCCCACCTTGCCCTGGGACCTTTGCTATTGGGACCCCCCACCCGACAATTTCGCGCCCGAAGCCGCCCCGCCGTCGACCTGGTCCGACACGCTCACCTTGCTTGTGAGATCTGTTGCTGGGACCCTCCACCCGACAACTTCGCGCCCGAAACCGCTCCGCCGTCGACTGGTTCGGCATCCCCCCCTTGCCCTGGGGCCCCTCTCTGTGGGACCCCCCACCCGACTATTTCGCGCCTCAAATAGCGCCGCCGTCGACCTGGTCCGACACCCCCACCTTGCCCTGGGACCTTTGCCATTGGGACCCCCCACCCGACAACTTCGCGCCCGAAACCGCTCCGCCGTCGACTGGTCCGACATCCCCCCCTTGCCCTGGGGCCCCTCTCTGTGGGACCCCCCACCCGTCTATTTCGCGCCTCAAATAGCGCCGCCGTCGACCTGGTCCGACACCCCACCTTGCCCTGGGACCTTTGCTATTGGGACCCCCCACCCGACAATTTCGCGCCCAAAACCGCCTCGCCGTCGACCTGGTTCGAGACTCCTTTCTTTGCCCTGGGACGCCTCTTCTGGGGTGCTCCAACAGGCAAGTCCACGTCCGAGACCGGCCCGCCGTCGACCTGGTCCGACACCCCCACCCTGCCCTGGGACCTCTGCTTTTGGGACCCCCGACTCGGCATTTTCACACTCGAAACCGCCAAGCCGTCGACCTGGTCCAACACCCCACCTTGCCCTGGGACATCTGTTTTCGGGACTCCCCACCCGATAAGTTCGCTACCGAAACCGCCCCGCCGTCGACCTGGTCCGACCCCCCCACGTTGCCCTGGGACATCTGTTTTCGGGATCCCCACCCGACAACTTCGCGCCCAAAACCGCCCCGCCGTCGACCTGGTCTGACACCCCACCTTGCCCTGGAAACTCTGTTTCTGGGACACCCCACAACAATTACGCGCCCTAAACCGCCCCGCCGACAGCCTGGACCGACACGCCCACCTTGCCTGGGGACTTTTGCTTCTGAACCCCCCCACCCGACAATTTCGCGCCCGAAACTGCCCCGCAGTCGACCTGGTTCGACACCCCAAGCTTGCCCTGGGACCTCGTCTTTTGGGATCCCCCCCCAACAATTTCACGCCCGAAACCGCCCCGCCGTCGACCTGGTCGGACACCCCACCTTGCCCTAGCACCTCTGCTTTGGGACCCCCCACCCGACAATGTCGTGCCCAAAACCGCCCTGCCGTCGACCTGGTCCGACACCCCCACCTTGCCCTGGAACGTCTCTTCTTGGGACCCCCCACTCGACCGTTTCGTGCCCGAAACCGCCCCGCCACCGTCAACATGGTCGGAAACCAACCTGGTCCGACACCCCCACCTTGCCCTGGGACATCTGTTTTTGGGACCCCCGCCGATAACTTCGTTCCCGAAACCGCCCCGCCGTCGACCTGGTCCGCAAGAGCTTCATGGAATTAGGGCGGGTTATATTCAAAATGTGGCTCTCGCCTTAGCGCCGCGCGCATCCGTTTTCAAACAATTGCAAGAGCGTCACGTACCATAGAAAGTGTTTTGCAAGGATTCAGGATTGACCGGGCGCAAGAGCTACATTAAGTCGCGATGTCGAAGTCCCAGGAATTGCGTTCTGGCGCGATTCAGGGTCGTCAAGACGCAGCAGTCCAGTTGACTCGTGGCGTCGAAGTCCTTAGGCTTACACTGATCCTGCTCTCTCCCTGTCCTCCTCCTCCTCCTCCTCCTCCTCGTCCTTTTCCTCCTCCTCCTTCTCCTCCTCCTCCTCTTCCCCCTCTTCCCCCCCCCCTTTCTCCTCCTCCTCCTCCTCCTCCTCCTCCTCCTCCTCCTCCTCCTCGTCCTCATCCTCCCCCTGCTCCTCCTCCCTCCCTCCATCCCCCTCACCCTCCCCTTCCTCATCCTCCTCCGCGAACCTCCGCCTCCTCCTCCGCCTCCTCCTGCGCCTCCTTCTCCTCCTCCTCCTCCTCCTCCTCCTCCGCCTCCTCCTCCTCCTCCCACCACCACCCGCACCGTGTCCCGAGGCTGTGGCACGCTCATCAGCTCGTCATTGTCGTTGTCGTCGTGGTCGTCGGCGTGGTCGTCGTCAATCGTCCTTCTGGGTCGGCGGCCCTGGCCGCAAGGCCTTCGCAAGCAAGAAAATGAGCGCGATATGCTCAAGTCGCCGGCTGGCCTGTGAAGGGGTCGAGGTATAGGCCAAGTCGTCTGGCGCATGGACACCCTGGCTGCCCAACCTGGAGCTCTTTGCACCTTCTGCCCGTTCCGCCAGCATCCTGACTGCCGCGCGCAGAGAGGAGCGGCGGCTAGCGCGTCACTCTGCGTGGCTATAACCACTCAAACTTGAAGGTGAGGTCATTCCCCATGTTTACGTACTGCATGCTCAAGCACCACACGCACACCAAACAGCACCGGACGAAGAAACCGCCATGCAAGCCGATGAAGCCACGGAGAAAGGTAAACGGGTCCCATCCCTTTGCACGGACCACTACACAGGTAAGCAACAAGCTGACAAGTTCCACCACAACGTCAATGCCGACATACGTGGCACCATTTGAGTAGAAGTTCTTTGCGGAAAGCCCTCGTGTGGTGTCGTTCCCGTCTGGGTTGAACCAGTAAATGCATAGTAGAGAAGCGAACCACTGCCAAGACGCCCACACCTCGGCGAGCTCGCGAGCAAGCAGCACCATCAAGATGCGCATGGACTTCAGGTCAGTGACGGGGTCATTCCTGGAACGAGATGGCAAGGCATGGACGAAATACAGATTCTCCAGCACATTGATACAACACAACTCAAGAGAGATTGACCAATGTGATGCGCGGGCCAGAATGACGCCCATTTGCCACTCATACAGCGTCAGCGTAAAAAAGACGAATCGCGGCAAAACATCTGCTCCGAAGCTCTTCGATAAACACACCCCCAACATTTCAAACAGCAAACGTGATGCCAAAAAAATCAAGACGATTAGAGATTGACCGACTGGTGATGATATCAAATACCACGCGTAGATCAAGGGGTACAGGAACGCAAAAATGGTGTAAAGAGCGATCCCAGAAACACTACCAATGGTCAAGAAGTGCTTCCAGAAGCCAGGCTTCTTCCGGTAGGAAACTGGAAACACAAAGTACACCAATGGAAGGAAACCAATACTCAACGCTGCAGCTACATACGATCCGAGAGGAACCGGGAAGATATCATAATGGATAGCAATCGTGGCATATGCGCTGTCTCCACAGATCACGACAATGAGCACCCAAACGACCTCC